TAATAAGACTATCAATATTTTTCTTCAAACCCACAAGCTTTTCCCAGAGATCCAAGAACTGTTGGCTTAGGTGAGTCACTAGGCCAATCACCTGTGTTTGGTTGTTTCTCGTTTCTGGGCACATTTCCAGTTGAAATGATTTTGAGTTCAAAATTACATTCTAAATTCAAAACCTCAAATCCCGTCCACATATGACCCATTCAAAACTGAGAACCACGATCATTTAAATGATTTCTAAGCATACTGGTGATCTCCAAGGCCTGAAGAGCAGCACACAGTTATATTTCCAAATTATATTCCCCTCTACAAAAAAAAAAAAAAAAAACTCACTGTTAGAGTCGATTCGATTCATAGCAACCCCTCCTTGCGTTCTTAGAGTTGATTCGACTCATAGCAACCCCTCCTTGCGTTTCCAAGGCAGCATCTCTACAGAAGTAGTAGATCGCCCAATCTTCCATCTGACAATTGGCTGGTGGGTTTGAACTGCCAGCCCTCTGGTTAGCAGTCAAATGCCTTAGGCACCAGACCCCAGAGCTCCCTTGGGATCCTGTATTTCCAACATAGAACAGATCTATGTGCATTGACAATCAAGTGAAAGAAAAGTAATCCTGTTACCATTTTATGAAATTATGGTGTCCGGACTAGGACAGACCACCCACCTCCAAATGGAAAATCTGTTGGCATGGCAGAGTTATCACTGCTAAATACATAAACATTTCACTTTAATCCTACTAAAGAAGTTGGTGGCAGCCTAAACATTCATTACTCTATTTAGGCACAATCAAATCCCTGTCTCCCTCAGTCCTAGATGACCACAACACTACAGCTGAACCAGCCCCAACGGGGAAGCACCACTCACCTTTATGACTGAACACTGCCCTAGTAGCTCTGCTGAATGAAACCAGAGGAGACATATCACATGAAGATGCATAAAAAAAAACCAAAAAAACATGAAGACAAATTACACTACAGACTGAAGACTTAAAGACCTTATGCAACAACCATAAATTACTTCCAATTACTGGACTTCAAAAGAAACTTCAGCATATTGAATAGTTCTTATAGTCAACTGATAAGAAACATTTAACCACTACAGAAGCCAGGTAGGTGTTTGAAACAAAGATAAGAGATTTAAAAACTAAAACAATCAACAAGTGGCTAGTGCACACATGCCCCCACCCACACACCCCCCTCCTAAGTAGAAAGTCAAGGCATGTGCCAAATTTAGACCTAACCTATTGCCAGAAAAATCCCTTGTCTTAATCTTTTTCTGGGTTCAAGGGCTTACTCCAAGAAGAGTTTGTATTAATAAAGCAATATATGCAAGATTAGGTGTATTAAAATTTGATGTGTTAAAAGTCAAGCATGGAAGAATGATGCAAAAAATATATAAAAAGCAGAAGTGTTCTGGGAGCTAGTGTAAATACTGCAGTCTCTCTAAAAGAAAGGCTCAGGGCAGTAGATTGCAAGCAGCCATCTAGATGCAACGATGGTTCGTTCCTCGTCCAGAGCAAATGAAGAAAAGCAAAGATGCATGGAAACAATTAGTCCCAACAACTGGTACACCCTGCAATCTGCAGCCTATGTAACTATGAGACCAGAAGAACTAGATAGTGCCTGGCTACCACTGTCAACTGCTCAGAGGGGTATCTATGTAGGAGATGCTGGATAGAGAGGGAGATTAATGCGGAACAAAACTCAAAATCATTTGGGGAAAAAAAAAGAAAGAGGGACTAGGTTTGCTGGTCTGATAGAGCCTGGTGGAACCACAGAGACTATGGCCCCTAGCTGCCCTTCAGGTCTGGAATTGAAAACACACCTGTGGCTTCCAGCCAAATAAAGACAGGCATAGGCATATGAGTTGAACATTTACCTGAGGTAGATACACTCCTTGGAGAGAACAATCATGGGAGAAAGAAGGGCTGTTTAGGCACAGGGAGACAGCTCAAGGGCCAAGAGTGCATGGAGGAAGGGCACAGGGAAGAGGTAACTATGGAAAAGAAGTGGAAAGAGAGCTGTTGCATTGTGGTAAATTGTAGTAAATGTCATGAGACAAAGTATATGTGACCTGCTGTGGGGAAAGTGAATTTGCTCTATAAACTTTTACCCAAATCCCGATTTAAAAAAAAAAAAAAAAAAAGTGGAACTAAACAGAAATGAAAAAAAGGAAGAAAGAAATTTCCTGCCTTATTCCTAATTCATGAAGCTTGCTCTCTTTGGGTCCTAAGGGCAACTTAGGTATTACTAACTGCACTAAGTAACTCACTGCCATCGAGTCAGTTCCTATGCATAGAGACTCCCTTTGGGTTTCCAAGGCGGTAAATCTTTATGGATGTAGACTGCCCAGTCTTCCTTCCGGAATAGCTTGTGGGTTTAAACTGCCAAACTTCTGGTTAGCAGTCAAATGCCTTAGGCACTACACCACCAGGGCTCCTTCTGACTGCTAGGCTTCTACAAAGTTAAGAGCTGTTTTTGCCATTAAAATGTCTACTTTCCTAAAAGCCAGAGTTGGCTGTATCTTTTGGGTGGAGAAAAACCTACAGAGAAATGACAGATGAGAATTTCAGGATGGTGATCACCTCTGGGGAGGGAGGGAGGAAAAAAGAACTAGGGAAGAGGGTCTAGTTGAGCTGTATCTGTCTAAAACAACGCAGGCTGGAAGTAAGCATGTTAAAATGTAAACATCTGTTCAACCTGTACAATGGTACATAAAAATCTATTACACATACATACACACGTTATTTTTTCTGCATGCTTGAAGTGCTTTATAATAAAAAGCATTCAAGCAGTAATCTAAAAATTGAAAAGAAGACACAAAATGGACAGAGAAAATGGAGGCTGGTATACAATACTAAGCAGCAAAGTCCAATCATGCTGGTTTGATTAAATGTAGTTGGCAAGCAACACAATAAATACACATAAGCTTCCCAGGAACACTCAATTCCAAGATAACACAAACTAAAGTTAGAACCCATTTTATTGTTTTACATTTTATTGTAAGATAGTCCTTTGATATCAATCTAGTTTAACAAAGGCACACTGTACATTTATTTATCCTTTGCCAAATAAAACGCATGTCCATATTTGAAGTTTTACTGAAGGATATGCACTGTTATTTTAATTGCATGTGCATCTGTTAAGCTCAAAGGAAGCCAAACTCCAGGCAGTCTGATTTTTAGTGCTAAAGCTAAGTTGGATCAGAGTATAAGTGACACTTGCAGTTCACATTGCTGAACAGTGTTCAAAGATCAACAGCAGAACTTGGGCCTCTGCTAACCAATGCAGCTGCCGCCATACAGAGAGAATTGAGAAAATCTACAGCCACTTTCTCTGAGATCATCTATCATGTGGTCCACACCAACAAGTGATTGATAGCCTTTTAGTAGCTACACAGCCTCTATAGGCCTCAACACCATTTTTTTCAACAATCTGCTTTGGTATATACAAATGATGAGACCATTAGATCAGTATACCAGGGTACACATTCTCCTGCTTTTTGGATAGAATCATTACCACACCAACGGAAAAATTATAAAAATACCACAGAGAAGAAGTTGCAGACTGCAGCCTCTGGGCCACGTCTGGCCAACAGATATATTGTTGGGCTCATACAACATTTTTTAAAAATTTGAATGAGGATAATTCTCATAAAAGTCTGGATGTCTAAATTTTCTTCTTTCAATATCAAAAGTCCTGGCAACATCAGGCCCTTGTATTTACCTGGCTTGAGCTTAGTGGCAGCTGCTTAATTTCTATAAGGCCTGTTCACCACAGTCCCCACCACTCCCTAGCAACCCACACTCACTAGATCACTTTTCACATGACCTGCTCTGCCCTCTGAGACATTTTAGTTTGAGGCCTAATATGAAGGGCAGCCCACATCAGAGGCACTGAAAACGAACAAAGTATTTCCTTAGGACAAAATTAGAGGGGGTGGGGAGAATGGGAGAAAAGCCTTAGTTTCTGAAATTTTCAGTACCAGTACAAGGTGGAAGAGGGGAAGGCAAAGCCTAAACCAGAAGTCTTCTCTCCCCACCATTAACATACACACATATCCATGTCCAGGTTATGTAGCTCCCACACACATAAACCCTTTTCTTACACTAATGATTCCCTAAATATATGGGATTCCTGACTGTGAACAAAGCTCATTGAGGCTTAGCAGGGAATCGCCTCTGTTCCCATATTACTTAAGGACTCAACAAGGTGTACTGGCTTGCTTTTGATGCAATGCTACCACCATCCAGTGCAGTGCACATACAAACTACAGGAATTCCTTTCTACTTGCAAATGTATCAGCTGCCTGCAAATACTGTGCCCAAATTCCTGTAAAGTAAACTAAGCATCACAGTGTGATACACACACACACACACACACACACACAAGATGCACAGACAGAAATGGAACAGAATGCTATTCATTAATCAATGTCAAGAAAATGCAAATGTGTCTATATCAAATGAAATTGCCAAGGAAAAACTTTCATAATTTCCTTGTTGTGCACACACACATGTATCTGAAACCAAAGTCACTGCTGTCGAGTCAGCTGTGACTCATAGTGACCCCTCCTTGGGTTTCTGAGGAGGTATCTCTACAGAAGTAGATTCCCAGTCTTCCTTCCAAGGAGTGGCTGGTGGGTTTACACACCCCATGATTATGATGAAAAGTTCAGGATATATTAAATTACTAATATATATATACTATATGAAGAGAATAAAAGCCAAAAAGGATACCAAGTGGGAATAGTTTCTAGAGTCCATGGTACATTAGTCTCACGGCAATTTATTTCATTGAAACTTAATTTTCCTGGTCATAAGTATCAAAGTTCAAGTTCTCATTAGTATTGGCAGATTTTCAAGAAACATTGCATAATCTAAAAAGAAGGGTCTTCCACTTTAGGATTACAGAATTGTCAGAAAAAATAAAAACCACATCAATGCATAATTTCCACAACTTGGGTTTTTCCTCCCAGAGAGACAAGAAAAAGGTTAAGCACTCACTGCAGAGAGCTGACTCCATGTGGATCTCAGTGGCTTATGGTGAATCACAATTTTTTCATCTGACTTTTGTTCTTTGGGTTCCAACTCTTCATCAGAGTCAATGTCAAGAGCCTTTTCTTTGTAGTTCTGATACAGCACTGCATTTTCTGCAATAAAAACAATCCCTACATGTCACTAATGGCTTCCAATCATCGTGCTACTTGTTCTAAACAAGCATTCATATTTCTACAATGTTTGTTCTAAAGTTTGATAAACAACAGAGAGACAAACGGATCTTGTCACTGAAGAGTAATTACAGAAAAGTGATTTTCTCACTCACACAACTCTGTCTCTAACTAATCTGCAGAAGGAGGAAAGGGGTACATACATTTCATGTATGTAAATGTCAACTGAAGCAGTTTCTATATTTCTGTCCATGCAGTGGTGATACAACCGCATAAGTGCTCAGCTACTAAAAGAAAGATTCGAATCTACAAGTGGTCACACGAGAGAAAAGACCTGGTGATCTGCTCCTGTAAAGATTAAAACCCAATACCATCCAGTCGATTCTAACTCATAGCAGCCCTATAGGACAGAGCAGAACTCCCCACAAGGTTTTCAAGGCTGTGAATCTTTATGGAAAGAGACTGCCACATCTTTCTCCCACAGAATGGTGGTGGGTTCGAACTAGCAATCTTTTGGTTAGCAGTCAAGTGCTTTAACCACGGAGGAACCATTATTTCTAGTGCCCAGCAGTCATTGTCACCTACTAGGCTTCTCTAACTATCAGCTGAATGAGTAAACGAATAAGTGAATTTTTTTTTTTCTCATTAGAGTGTCAGGTCACGAGGGCACAAGAGGTATCATACGTTTTTCATTTTACATTCAGCCTTTGGCACATAGTGCAAAAAACCCAAAAATCCAAAGTGTTGCTGCCAAGTAGATTCTGATTATGTATTATTTGATAAAACTTGTTTAAAAGATAAATGTGTGAAGATGGACCTTTTGGATTCAGTTTTAACCTAAAAACAGTGATTTAGTAAGCCTGCCTATCCTTCATGGGTGTTGTTACTAGGTGCCATCAAGTGGATTCCGACTCATAGTCACCCTATAGGACAGACTAGAACTGCCCACAAGGTTTTTTAGGCTGTAATCTATGAAACCCAATGGGAAAGGGGGTAGGGAATGCTGAGAGGGTGGTAGATTTTAAATAAGGTAGTCTAGGAAGACCCCCCCAAGGTTCCATTTAAGCACAGACCTAAAAAGGCGAAAAAGTGAAGCACCTGTACAGCAGGGGAAAGAGCATCCCATCGGAAAAAATGTAAGGGCAAAGGAGTGTTTGATATGTCTGTCTGTACAAGGAGAGTAAAGAGGCCTGGGTGGCTGGAGTAGGGGAAGTAAGAGGGAAAATGGTGGGATAGATGGTAGGTGGGTACAGGGCTGATCATGTAAGGCCTTGGCTCCACACCACTGAAAGGACTTAGGTTTTTACTCCAAATGAAATGGCAAGTCATGACTGGGTTGTGAGGACAAAATGATATTACACCAATGTAAATTTAACAATGTTTATACGGAGTGCTCTAAGAACAGACTGTCAGCAAAGTGTGTTCGAGCCTGGGAGTTGAAACTATGTCAAGGTGGAAAAATCTAAAATCTGTGAGCTGAAAAACTGCAGAGCTAAAGGAAAGAGCACATGCAAAAGCCCTGAAGCAGGAGGAAACTTAATACCTTCAGTGAACTAAGGTTAGTGTGGCTGGAATTGAGGTGTCTAGTGCATAAAGTGTACAAGATGAGCTCAGAGATCTAAGTCAGACAGTCCAAATCAAGCAGGGCTTCCTCAGTCATGTTAAAGAACAGGATTTTATCTTGAGCACAAAGTGCTTTCTTTACACTGGGAAGACTGTATTTTATCCTGAACAAAATGGGAATCCACTGAAAGGAAAGACTTGATTAACCAGGAAAAGGCAAACACTGGTCTACCTGGGAAAAAAATTAGGATGCTAATGGGTCGATCAATGAAAGACGACATACCTCGGAGTATGCCATTTAGACAGAACTTGGTGAGAGACTGGATGTAGGGACTTGAAAGAGGGAGGTATTAAAAATGTTTTCTAGATCTTCAGGTCCCAAAACTGGAAAGTAGGACATGAAAACATCAGAAGAGATTCAGGTTTAGGAGTTCCCAGGTAGTGCAAATAAATAATAGATCATCTCCTAACCCAAAGGCTGGAGGTTCAAATCAACCCAGAGGTAACTCGAAAGAAAGGCCTGGTGATCTACTTCTGAAAAATCAGCCGTTGAAAACTATGGAGTACAATTCTACTCTGACACACGTAAGTTGCCATGTGTCAGAATCAACTAGACAGCAACTGCTTTTCAGGGGGAGTGGAGAGGGGACAGACTTGTTCCATTTGAGATGTCTTTCCTGTTTTTTGGAGCAAGTAAACATCTGCCTCCTCTCTGATTTCCTACAGCACGTTCTGTATGCAAGAATGACTAGTGTAACACTGGAGTCTATGCAAGAGTTTATTCTTTTCTGGTTGTTCTGCATATGTAAAACAGCTTAGGAAGGTAAAAACTGGGTTTCCCCTACTCCTATAGTTCCCAAAGAAGAGCTGGAGGTACAGCAGTTAAAGAGCTTGACTGCTAACCAAGTTTGGCAGTTTAAACCCACTAGCAGCTCTATGGGAGAAAAATGTAGCAGTCTGCTTCCATAAAGATTACAGCCTTGGAAGCACCTTAGGGGTAGTTCTACTTTGTCCTATAGGGTCACTATGAGTTGGACTCAACTCGATAATAGTAGATTCTACAGTACTTTTTAAAGTATTTATTGGTTGGTACATAGTATATGCATAATAACATTGATGGTATAATTTGTCATTAATTCTCACAACAATATGAACATTAGTATTATTAAACCTCATTTTACACATGATGAAACTAGGGATCAATGAGGTCAAGGGACTTGCTCAATGTCATTCAAGTCATGAGTAAAGATGGGACTGTAACCCAGGTCTACCTGGTTCCAAAATCACAAGTTCTCACCACTTCACCACACTGCTTCCCAAGTTAATCACCATTAGTCATTAACTATAATAATCCTGAGTATCTTGTGTACATACATGTGGAAAAGAATTTCTAAGACTATCATATCTGAGAAAAAAAATAAGAGCACGCACAGTAACAGTTCCTTATAAAAGGAGACAACAAAAAACTACTTATAATGAAGATCTGTCCTCTGATTTAAAAAAAAAAAAAATCAAATTTTATAGGCCTTTGAAGCAAAAGTCACAGAACCAATGTCAAATTCTAGAGGATGCAAAATATCTCCCTAAAAATTATATTAGGGAAATGCTCTATTAATTTTAGTTCATAGAGTGGAGTCCCTGTATGATACAAACAGTTAATGTAACTGGCTGCTAATCAAAACAATGGCAGTTTAAGTCCACTCAGAGTTGTCTAGGAAGAAAGGCCTGGCAATTTACTGCAGAGAAAATCAGCTACTGAAAACTCTATGGAACATGGTTGGACTGACATATATGGATTGGCCACGAGTTGAAATCAACTCGACGGCAACGGACAAACTAGTTGTTTTTCGAGAAGCACAAGAGAATGCAGTGCTGGCTCTGCTACTAGCTGTGTGACAGCAAACAAGTCACCAAACCTCTCAGAGCTTTTGGTTTGTTTACTTATAAAATCAGGAAGATTGGTACACTTGCCCCAACCAGAGAAAATACTGCTTCAGGGTTTTCTCTCTATATGGAACCATTTCCTAAGATTGGGTACAGTAAATTTTATAAGCTTGTCTTACTTAACAGTGCTCCAATGAGAAACTGACTTTTGTAACAATTGTATAGAGAAGTCATTTGTCATCACTCAAGGTTATTTATGTATTTTGTAGCCATGGATGGTTTTTCATTAGATTTACTCAGGGAAGGATATATCCTCCTTCGTTATTCTTTAAAGGTTGAAAAATCCTAGCATTCCAAAGCATGACAGAAAATAACTATCATCCCTGCCATCAAGATCCTCTAGTCCTACAAGGCTACAGTTGAGATTGGTCACTTCATGCTCTTCCAGTTTGCTGACACACATCCCATCTATTTACAGAAAGTCCACTAATCTGATTAGGGTTTGAACACCTGGTTAAAGCTGTTTGTTTTTGAGATCATCAACAAAAATATTGTATGGGTTACAAATTCTTAGGAATATGGTTCTGCCACCCAGGAAAGATATATTTCCCCAAATTTGAAACTCGATAATTAAACAGGAAATCAGGAATGATAACAAAATGTCAAAATATAGGGAGAAAATATCAGAAATAAATATGACCTAAGACCTAAATGCCAAAATCTCAGAACTTTTAATTACAAAGCTAGAGCTTGCTCTTACTCTTTCTCCATATTTTTGAGGAAAGCGGGAAGGGAGCCAGAGAAAGAAAAAAAAATTAAAAGCCTAGGACAATTAATGACAAGTGTTATCAGCTTGTAAAGAATCCCACTAATTTTGTTCATTATTGGTACAGCAGGAAGGAATTTTAGCTTAGCACAGAACTCTGCACTGCATAATATGGGAAGAAGTTGAACATTTCTCTCATTTTAAGTGTTTTTGTTCTGCACTTGGATTTCGATTTATAATTGATATTCCACATTGAAACAGTAATAAAAGTCTGGAAATCAAATGCTTACCTTCCCCATCAAATGTTCCTTGTCCTTTCAGCATTTTTTTCTAAGAAACAAGAAAAGCAAAAAAAGGAAAAAGCAAAGCAATCTATGTGTAAGTGAGCCAAATACAAAACACAGCTATTTAAAGTAAAAGCACTTTTTTGTTGTTTGTTACATTCATTAGCTTTCCAAAAGCACACTACAGATGATCCCTGGGGCAATTCACTCATATGATCAGTACAATTCACTGAAAATTGAAATATAATGTGCAATGTCCCCCAAGCCCCGTCAAAACAACAGCCTGAGTATCCTCAAATGACCAACAGCTCAGTTCATTTCACGACTTGTGATTCACCATCACTGTTAAAATGAACCTTGCTATACTTGTAGAGTTGGAAAAAAACACGTCAAAGTTATGTAATTTCTTTTCTTTAAGACCATAAGACTCTAGAATAAAATAGGCTTGCCTGTGTATTACATATGTGACATTTGTAGACTGGTTCCAATTTTCTGAATAATCAAAAAACAATGAGGCTGCCAGAATGAGTGTCTGCCTTATTTGCCTAGATCTGTCTTGTTTCTGCAGAAGGCAGAACACACAATCCAAAAACTCTCTCTTATTTTTCCCTTTTTAAAGAAATGTCTAGCCTGGGAACATTTAGCAGTATTTCAGTACATGAAGCTCTTGGGGCTTAATCAATGAGGCAATACCACACAGTTCATCCTAACCACAAGTTTTGAGCTACTAATTTGCTAAATGTACTCAAGGCTAAATGGACAGAAAATGGGGGAAAAAAATATAGCTACAGGTATGGTGAGAAAAACAAGCAACAAGAAAATATAACCAACTATTTGTGTCTTGGGAGCTCTGGTAGTGTAGTGCCTAAGGCTTGTGACTGCTAACCAGAAGCCTAGTGGTTCAAACCCACCAGCCACTCCTCGTAAGGAAGGTTGGGCAATCTACTTCTGTAGTAATAATGTGTAGAAAACCCAAGGAGGGGTCCTTATGAGTCAGATCCAACTCCATGGTAGTGGGTGGGTATTTGTGTCTTTGTGATTTTGGCAATTGTTTTTCAAATTCACACTTTACCTGAAAGACATCGCGTGTGTTATCACCACTCAAAAAAAAAAAAAAAAAAAAACTAAAAACAGAAGATAATCAGTGAGCTCAAACATGAGAACATGAGTAAGTATTTTCCTATATGGACTGTAATGGAATCAAGCACTAAACAACTGGATAACACAATTGAGAGTGCAGATCTGGGTGTTTTTCAGTTACCTGTATTAAAAGTGCTCAGGGTTCATTCATCCAATACTTAATGTGCCCTAAGTTTCCTCTTCTTGCTCCTAAAAATTGTGCCTCTATTTATGAAATAGAAACACTTGTCCCGAGTTTCACTTCCCCCACAAAGCTGAATTAACCCTGGCTGCCTCTGGCAGCAACAGACGGCCAAAAGACTTATGTGCACAGGTATCCATAATAAAATAAACAGATTTAAAAGATGATAGTAACTTCTGGTTTCCTGTGCTCCACCCCCACTACATTTACTTTAGACTTAGCATATAGTTTGCAACACCCCTACTTTTCCACTCTTACCTTTATCCTTCCCAGGCTAGAAAACTTCTCTTTATCTTCTATCACTGCTTTCAGAACTGGCTGGGACATTCTGTTCTTCTTTTTCGAGCTGGTAGGGCTGTCAAAATCAATGCCACTGAATACAGCTCTGCGATAGGATGTGGACCTCAATCCTCTCCGCAGAGACCCAGGGCTGTCCAAGTCGTTTTCGGCCTCGGCCTCATCCCCTGCGTGGCCAAGTGGCGCTCCGTGGCCCTCCACCATGCTGCGCACCTTGAGGATTCTCTTGTGGGGCTCCACATTCTGACTGTTGGATTTACTTATTTTAATCTCGGAGGCCAGGCTCTTCGGAATGATCTGCTGCCTCCCCACTTTGAGGGCAGCGGGGCTGTTTGTACTCAAAACCACTGCAGGATTCTCCAGGAGCTCGTTCTCCTGTGAGGGCAGCCTTTGGAGAGGGAGTTTTTGTTCCGAAGCCCTTTTCTGGGGCGCAGGAGAAAGTTTTGAGGATCCCCGCTCCGGGTCCTGAGCCGTCTGGCCGGACTGCGAACGGGAGCCAGAGGAGTCGCTATTAGGGGCAAGCCCATTTGCAATAGGCGAGGGCAGGGGGCTGGCGTTCAGCCCAGTCGGGTCCTCCTCGGCACTGCAGGGGGCGGGCGCGTTAGGAGTTCGGGAGGGGCGCAGCACCGGCGGCTGCAGCGCAGTCGAGGTCACTACGCCATTCACTGGGAGTTTCGGAGAGCCACCCGACACCAGTTTGGGGGCATGGGGTGACTTGGGCCGTCGGAGCCTGTGAGAAGCAGCCCTGTACTCCGGGGAGACCGTCCTCCCATTGACCACGGGCCTCCGATGGGCGCACAGAAGCAAGGGGCTCTCCTGGACCGTACTAACGTCCGAGACTATGGGCACCTGGGCAGGAGTCTGTGCCGCGGGAAGGGTCCCTCTGTCCTCCACCGGGAAATCCGTAATCAGCAGCCCGCTGGGGCTCTGGTACGACTGGGGCCTCGGCTTGCTCCGGGCCAGCAGTTGGGGCTGAGGGGTCGACCTCCTCCGCCACAAAGGGGTTAGGCTTTTGCTGGAAAAGTCCACTTCGCTCTCGCCGTCCATAGCGGGTCGTGGGCGCCAGCCTCAGGGAGAAAGCACCCCGCTAGTTTTGCCTAGAGGAAAGAAGTTATAGAACATTGCCTCTGGACCCGTCATGCCTTGCAGACAGACACGCGACGCGCTATCCGAGCCTGGCGGACCCCGTGCTGCTGTTTCGGGCAGAGCTGCGCGGCATTTACCCTCCCTTTCCCGGCCAAAAACGGGCGTCCACCGCGATGCGCGATCCCAGTTAGAAATCTAGACTGCCCACGGAGCAGATTAATACAATCACCTCCAGTCCTTCTACCGCCCAAAGACCACACGCACAGAATGAGCCCGCCACCAATTCGCCGGGTGCAAGCTGATGCACAAGATACTTGGGACAAGTTCAGCTTTCCTAAGAAACTTGCCGCGGGACGCGCCCCTCCGCCGCCATCCAGCCGCCAGCCCCAGTCGCTAATCCCCTCGAGATCTAGCTTCTTGGCTATAGCACGGATTTACCTTCGAGGGTTTGCAGATTCCCGGGCCAAGGCGCGCCCACTGCCCGTGGGTGGCCCGGTCCGTGACAGAAACACAGCAGCTGGAGACCTGGAAAGAGCCGCGGCCGAACCACCGCTCCCGCACCGCCCCCAACATTGGGCCCGCCCCACACTTGGCCCCGCCCCACACTTGGCCCCGCCCGGACCGATCTCCTTTACTACCCGCTGGAAGCCAAGGCCTTTCTGCCCTAGCGTGCCTTGAAATCCTCTCCCACCTCAGTTTTAAAACAGATGTGTACACTGGAGCTGACAGCAGAGACTCGACTCCGGAGGCGGGAGGGCTGGTGGCCGCGGCGGTGTGGAAGCCGCTGGTACACTGCTGAGATCACCCCGTGAAAGCCCTGCGGAAACGCAAATTGCCAAGCCTTAGGCCCTGGGGAGCTGCGGTTTTGAAACCCAGAATGGGCGGCTGAGTAGGGTTAGTGAAATGCGTGAGTAGGGCCTCATAGCTGTAAACTCAGAGCCCTTCGCCTCTCAGTGTCGGGTGATCTTAAAACAGAAATCTGATGGCTCACGTTCCTGCTTGAAATGCCTTATAATATCGATTTACCTGTATGCGCAGTGTATTTACGCAGTTCCTGGTAGGGAAACTGAGTGGCTAGGAAAAGAGACTTTTCGTTTGGTAATTTTGTACCATGTAGAATGAACTGTGGATGTTCAAAATAAATATAATTTGAATTACCAAAAAAAAAATATATATATATTTCCTACCACACATAGAATAAAATTCAAAATCCTCTCCAGGTTCTGCAGGGCCTCCTAGGTAGGCCTATTCTTCCCCCATTACTTCTTTCCTCCCTCACTGTTCTTTGGCTACACACACTTCAAGTTTTACAGCCTCAGAATTTTCTCTTTTGTTCCAAGTTGACCTTCTGACATGTCTCTATCAAGGAGGCCTTCTCTGACCCTGCCTGAATTAATATACGATTCCCCTATTTATTTTCCCAGCCACCTGTTCTTTCCTTTTTCTGCACTTAACCAAATTCACAACCATCATTTATTTATTTATTTATCTGTTGTTTCTGTGGTTAAGTTTATTATCTGTTCTGTTATTTTTAGATTTTAAGCTGCAAGAGAACAGGGGTTGTGTTTCTCTGAATTCCAGGCACATGGTGGACACTTAAATATTTGTTGAATGAGTGAATGAATGATAAATCAGAGGACAGTGTCTGTCCCTTCTAAGGTGTCTGCTGCCAAATGGTAGAAAATTGGTTGTGACCTGGCCAATCTCCTGCTATGTGAGAAGAAAAAGGAAAAGTTGAGAAGACAAATGATATAAACCCAAACCCACTGCCATTGAGTCAATTCCAACTCATAACTACCCTATAGGACAGAGTAGAACTGCTCCACAGGGTTCCCAAGGCTGTAACTTTATGGAAGCAGACTGCCTCATCTTTCTTCCACAGAGTGGCTGGTGAGTGAGTTCTAATTGCCAGCCTTTTGGTTAGCAGCCATATGCTTTAACCACTGCACCACCGGAGCTCCTTCCAGCTCATAAGATCTGTATAATTATATTAGCAAGACATATGGACTGTTCTCCAGGTACTCTTTTGCCATTCATGCTTTCAGCAGGGATGCTGTGAGCATCCATTGTGTGCAAGTTATGCCCTTTGTTTCTCCTTTGTTGTTGTTGTTGTTGTTATGTGCCGTCGAGTCTGCCCGACTCATAGCGACCCCTCCTTGGGTTTCCGAGGCAGTATCACTACGGAAGTAGGATTGCCCAACCTTCCTTCCGAGGAGTGGCTGGTGGGTTTGAACCGCCAGCCTTCTGGTTAGCAGTCAAGTGCTTTAGCCACTATGCTACCAGAGCTCCCTCCTTTAGATACATTGAATGTATTGGCCAAAAATATTAACTGACTGTCAAGAGTGGTGATTTTAAGCATAATGTTTTTCATGCTTCTGTATACTTTTCAGTACTTACTAAGTGCTATATAATGAATATATATTACTTTATTCGAAGATAATTTTGTAAACAAAAAGATAACAAAAAACTTAGGCAAAATAATTTTTTTTTAACCAGATATTTTAATGGGGAGAAATATGGCTGATTAAGTACTTATATATACACACTTTTTAATATAGGAGCTCTGGTAGCATAATGCCTAAGGCACTTGACTGCTAACCACAAGGCTGGTAGTTCAAACCCACCAGCCACTCCTGGAAAAGATGGTTGGGCAATCTACTTTTGTAGTGATACCACCTCAGAAAACCAAGGAGGGGTTGTTATGAGTCGGGACTGACTCCACCACACATAACAACAACAGCAACAGTTTCTATACTAAGATGTAGTATATTTGTATTACAAGGAATATACCTCGTCTCCTCACTTGCTGACTATCCCATTATTCAACATTTCACATTTACGATGACGGTAAAAAAAATCTACTACCCAACCATTTTGCACATTAATGACATACACCTCAGTAACACTGAGATGCAATGCGAAGGTAACGCTGGCTGCGTTGGTTAAGGTTATCTGTCCCCTTGGCTGGGACATGATTCTCAGTGGTTCGAAAGTTCTATAATGATGTATTTGTGCAGTTATGTAATAATGTAGTCATCCTCCATTTTGTGATCTGATGTGGTCATCCTCCATTTTTGCATAACTCTGATTTTTGCATAACGACCTGGTCTTTGGAACCTCTCCGTGTCAGTAAGTGAAAAGTGGGTGCAAAATTTAATTTTTTAAAATAATTAATGCTAAATGAAGTGTTTACATAAATAAAAATGCAGTCTGTGTCTTACATTAAGAAATTATAAATGATAATGAGAGAGTACTTGGCTTCTGTTCAATTTGTTTGGGGTTCTGAAAACAAGTATAACTTATGTTTGTAAAGAAATCACAAGATCTCTCTACCTCATTCCCAAGCAATGCTATAATACCACCAAAACAACAACAAAATACCAAGCCTGTTCTTTCTCTAAAGGAAGTCTGGAAATTCACTGACCTAGTGTCTATTTTAGGAGCTCTGGTAGCATAATGCCTAAGGCACTTGACTGCTAACCAGAAGGCTGGCGGTTCTAACCCACCAGCCACTCCTCGGAAAGAAGATGGGGTAATTTACTTTCGTAGTGATACTGCCTTGGAAACCCAAGGAGGGGTCACTATGAGTCGGTGCCGACTCAACGGCACACAACAACAAAAACAGTGTCTATTTGAAGAAGTTCTGGTGGTGCAGTGGTTAAGGCATTTGGCTGCTAACAAAAAAGTCACTGGGTAGAACCCGCCAGCTGCTCTGTGGAAGAAAGATGGGGCAGTCTGCTTCTGTAAAGATTTATACCCTTGGAAACCCAATGGAGGTTACGATGAGTTAGAATTGACTATGAGGTTGGTTTTGGAATGTCTATTTAAGCCTTTCAATTTATCATATCTATTCAAATCTAAGACATCTTAAAGTGTATATACTAAGAAAGAAAGAAAGAAAAAAAAACACTGGCATCGAGTCCATTCTACCTCATAGCCACCCCCCATTGGGTTTCCAAGACTGTAAATCTTTATGGAAGTAGATTGCCTTATCTTACTCCCTAAGAGCAGCTGGTGGGTTTGAACCACAGACCTTCTGGTTAGCAGCCAAAATGCCCTACCCATCACACCACCAGAGCACCTTAGTAAAGAAAAGGAGCTACCAGTTAAACTACAATAATGTGTTCTTAATTCCTATTTTATACTTAGTGAAAGTGTTTTTTTGACTTACTTAGGCAAAGTATTTTTATTAGTGTGCATATATACAAAAGGGAAATATAAGTGAAATAAGTTGATTATTCTTTGTTTTTTTTTTTTTTTTTATTAGGATTTGGGTGAAGATTTAAAGAGTAAATTCACTTTTCATACAGCAGTTCACATATACTTT